TTTATGTAGAGTATGAAGAGAGTTGGTCCTAGAACACTGCCTTGGGGAACACCACTATTGACAGGTACTGGATTTGATAGGACGCTCCCGATTTTGACCATTTGTTGTCTGTTTGACAGGAATGCTTCTATCCAGTTATTCAGTTGTCCAGAGATACCATAGGATTTTATTTTTAGGAGTAGTTTGTCGTGTACCACTGAATCAAAGGCTTTACAGAAGTCTATGTAGATTGCGTCTATTGCTTTGCCCTGGTCGAGTTGTGTCGTCCATATGTTTTTGCAGTGTAAGAGTTGCAGATTACAGGATAGTTTTTTTCTGAAACCAAATTGTTTATTGGAGAGTAGGTTATTTGTCTCTAAGTGAAGGATGATGGATTGGTTAATAATTGATTCCATGACTTTACAGGTGACGCAGCATAAGGAGATTGGCCTGTAATTTTCAACTAGGCCTGGGTCTCCCTTTTTGAAGATGGGGATGACTGTGGCTTGTGACCATAGGTTAGGCAAGGAGCTGGTTCTGAAAGATTTTTCAAAGATTATGCTTAGAGGTTTGGCTATGGCAGTGGATAGCTTTCTTAAGAAGTAGGCACATATTCCATCCGGTCCAATAGATAGAGATGGTTTTAGGTTGCGTAGTGCTTTTTCAACATTGTCTTCTGTGAAATCGATATGTATTAGATCATTGTTGTTATCTGTGGTACGGCTAGGAAATACTGGGCATGATCCATTGCTGTTTACAAATACTGAGCCGAAGAATGTGTTAAAGATGTTGGCTTTAATGGTGTCGTCGTTGCAGTCTTTACCATCAGGTCCTATCAAGGGAGGGATGGACCTTGAGTCTTTTAGTTTGTTGTTTACAAAATTGTAAAAAGCACGGGTGGAATTGGTGCTTAGAAGGTTTTCCTCTTGTTTAATGTGATAATTGGTGCATTCGGTCTTTATCTGGTGGCATAAATTTTTGTATCGGTTTTTGAAATTGGCAACGTGACCAGATTTGTTTTTCCGCCAGAGTGATCTCTTTTTGGATTGAAGTTTCCTTATTGATATGGGTAATCTGCTTTTTTGTTTTGTTTTGGGAGTTGTTGTTGGTACATATAGTTTGATGACTCTTTTGACTTCAAGTAAAAATATGTTGTAATGGTCTTCAACAGTATTGCATCCAGTGAATAGAGATTGCCAATCAAGGGATGAGAGATCGTTGTGTATAAGATCATAGTTGCCTTTTTTGAAGTTACAATTGGGAATTACATCATTGTGGTGATTTTTGTGTGGACGTATGTTGAGACAAAAGTCAATCATATTGTGGTCGCTACTGGAAAAGGGTTCTTTAGTTTGTATTCCGTAAATTAAATTCAAACTATTGCAGAAGATGAGATCGAGGCAGTTGTTTAGTCTAGTGTTGTTGGTTACTAGTTGTTCCAGTCCCAGATTTGTAGTAGCATTGTAGAAGGTTGTGTGTATGATTTCAGTTGTACAATCATTTAGGGTCCAGTCAATATGAGGTAGATTGAAATCACCAAGAAAGATAAAAGGGTATGGGCAGGATGCAGCCCATGTTAGTAATGTATTTAGCTTGTTTACATGTTCGATGTCATAATCAGGTGCTCTGTAACATAGTAAGAATCGAATTGTGATATTTAAGGATAGTTCACAGATGATGGTTTCAGGAAGAGCAAGCTCCTGGGTAACTTGGATATTTTTTAGATGTAAGGATTTTTTATAGAAGATAGCAACACCACCTCCTCGACGATTTTCACGATCTGATCGGTAAACATGATAGTCTCTTACTGTGGTAATGGAGTCGGGGAGAGATGCATTGAGCCATGTTTCACAGACAAATATAATGTCAAAGTTAGCCATATTTAGGAGGATGAGAAATTCAGGTATTTTATTCACGAGGCTTCTTGCATTGAGTAGTTTGCATTTAAGGCCGGCAGTAGTTGGAATTGAGGTAGTTGGGGGCGTGCGTGCCTAGTCTTGGGTGATGGTGGATCGGTTGAGGTAGGGTTGTGGTTGAGGGTAAAAGCTGAGTATTGGGTTGCGTGGCTTACTTTTGATACAGTCAGCATGGTAGTCAATGTACAGGTCCTTCTCTCCATTGTCTAGACGGTTTTTGAGTTCAATGCGGAGTACACGGGAGCGGGCACGTTGCTGTATGGTTAGGTCAGGGCGGCAACGGAGGTTCTTATGGTTGGTGTTGGTTTTGGCGAGTGAGTTTATAGTATAAATGAATTTACGTTTGCTTGTTTCATTTTTGCAAATGACTCTGCACAGGCGTTGGGCTACAGAGCCGTCACTGTTATTGAGCTCTCGGCCAATGCGTGAAATGTCAAGTATTTCATCAGCGGAGATGGTTGATGCTTGATAATCCCTGATGATGTTTTGGACAGTTGTGATGTCATCATTGTTATTGGTGACCTCTAGACCAAATAAGATGGCGTTTGGACGTTTCCGTTCACGCTCAACAGCTTCTCTGATGAGGATTGGGATATCAATATTTGTCTGGGTTGTGTTTATTTGTGGATTGGGTTTTGGATTGGGTTGTGGTTGTTGGGTAGAGATGTGGTTTGTAGCTATTGGAAGTTCAAGTTTTTGCGTTGTTTCTTTTTTTTCAAGGTTGGATATTCTTTCTTTTATGGCGTCCAGGGATGCTACTATGGTTTCAATGGTATCAATTCTTTCCAACAGATCCAGTTTGGGTTTGCATGCGTCCAGGGATGCTACTATGGTTTCAATGGTATCAATTCTTTCCAACAGATCCAGTTTGGGTTTGCATGAATTGCAGTAATATGGAAACTCATTGGATGATTCCAGGTATTGAATAAATTGCTCGGTTAATCCCAAGCAGTCATGATGAGTGTATTTCTTACACAGAGAACATTTGATGGAGTTTTCATTATCCTTTAGATTTTTGTAGCATTTAAGGCATGTGCAGGAGTCTTGTGGATCATTGGTGGGGATTATGTTCTCTGTAGGTAGTGCTTTGGCATAGGATTTTTTTCTTGTCATGGTAGGTTTGTTAAGATGGTACGTTGATTAAATTAATTAATGGAACAATATCACACCAATCAATCATCAATTGCAGTAATCTCTCTAGTCAGATAATATTTCTGGGCAACAATCAGCCTAATCAATTAAATATTCTAAACACTAATCAATTAATTACACTAATCATTAATCACACTGTTCATTTAAATTCACTAAATCATTGATTTTACTATTCAATTAAAATTACATGCATATTGATCTTTTCAACTAGTCAGTAATAACACTATTTGCACTAAACACTCTAGTCACACTAATCAATTAGGACCATAAATCAATTGAACCATTAATAAAATATTTTATAGAAATTGATTATCTAACCGTAGATATAGGTGATGAGGTAGAAAAGTTGTAAGTTTTGAGGTATTGAGTTAATCAGTGTTTGATTAAAGTAATGAGCTAGTATTAAGAGTCTGCAAGGAAAGGGTTAATGCTATTGTTGACTGAGAGGAAATTGTTGCTCTTTGTAATAGTAGATTGCTATTACTCTGTAAACAAGACTGTAATACGATGCTCAAAGGGTTTTTGAAACAGTGAAAAATATAGACCAAGATTTATGGTCACAGGGATCCCTGCAAACTTTTGTGTAGATCGACCAGATCCTCTTTGAGGCCATGAGATTCTCAGTCCCTCTTAGCAGCCGCAGATTCAGGCAACTTTTCTCTCTCTCTGGGATCCCTTCCTTTCCCCCCAAGAGTCTCCCCTGCAGAAGAACAGCAGAAGGAAAGATGGAAGTGTCTCCGTCGCTCCGTTTCTTCGGTTACTCCCCCTTTTCTCAGTCTCCCTTGGGATCCTCTGCTGTCTTTTCCAGCTTCTCCTTTTTCTTGGGGAGGTTCAGGGGCTCCATTCTGGGGGGAAAATGCAGGGAGGGAGGTCGAGGGAGAGGAGAAGGGTGGCTAGTGATGGGGGCTTTCTTTCCCTTGAACTCTAGGGAGGAAATGGGGGTGTCAGTGCCTGTGTCAAAGTCCCTGCAGGGAGGGAGGGTCTCTGTCTATCTTCAGGACTCCCCAAACCATCATCTTGTCCCTATTTCAGGCTTTCACATAATACAGGAGTTGTTTGGCTGTGAGCTCCAGACTGATGGGAGCAAAGGAGGGTTTATGCAGGATGGATATGATGGGAGGGACTTCATCTCCTTCGACAAGGAGACCCTCACCTGGGTGGCTGCCGACCCCCAGGCCCAGATCACCCAGAGGACATGGGATGCTATTCCAGGATGGAATGAGAGAAACAAAGCCTACCTGGAGGAAACCTGCATTGAGTGGCTGGAGAAGTACCTGTCGTACGGGAATGAGACGCTGCCGAGGACTGGTGAGCATCTGGATCCAGGCTGGACTTTCCTCCTTCATGGCCGGATTTCTCTGACACCTTCAGCCCCTTTGGGTCCCTTGTCTGGAGCCTGTTTGCCCTGGTGGGAATCCTCCTCCTCCCCTTCCAGCCCCTCTTGCAGGACACGGGAAGCCCTGTTTGGTTCCCATTGCCAGGCAGCCATTCAGTGGACCAGGAAATGCAGCCTCTCCCTGGCAGGAAAAGCCCTTCAGGGTGTCCTGTTCACTGCCCACCATGAGGCAACCATTTGGGGCTATTCAGTGAAACCCCCATTAGCCAAACTGTAGTCAAGAGTGATGGTCTCCCTTAATTTCCCCCCATGAACTCTCCTTCCCCCCACATCCCACAGGGAGCTCCCTCCCAGTCTTGCACCTGATTGGGGCACCTCCCATGGCCACCACTGTGGGGGCTCCTCTTCTGCCCTTCATAAGACACCATCAGAGCCCCCACTTGGGCAAAGAAGCCCATGGATGAGGGGTTCTCTTTCCAGGGTTGGGGGGATCCCCCATAGTTTGTGTAGATCTTTCTCTTAAACCTCAAACAGGTTCCCTCAGTTCTGACTTAGTGACTCTTTCCTCAAAACGGCCCCCTCCCCACCTTCAGGAACACCCCCTCAATCCACAGGGATGGTCACATTATAACCTTTTCCTGTGATTTGTTATTAATTCACCATCTAGACCACCCCTCCCCCTCTTGGCTCTTTGATCCCTCCAGGATCAGCTGGTTGAGATTAGGATCAATGGGGGAATCCTCCCCCCCCCCTTAGATTGCCAACAGCCCCTCCCTGCCAGGGAGGACCTTCTCTCTCTTCCATTAGCATCACCTCCCTCTGCCCTCCCCCCCCCCTTTTGAGAGACAAAATCTGTTTTCCAAATAGATCAGTGAGAAATTCCAAAAGCCCTGAGCCCCTTTTGGCTCTGATTCTGGCTCTCTTGCTCATAACATTGTGGTTGTGTCCCTTGGAAAGAGGCCTGGAGCAGCCTCAGATTCTGGGGAGAAGAAGAGGAACCAAGAAGTAGGGAGCAACTTCTGTGTTGTTGTGGTTGTCTTGAAAGGGAACTTAAAAGACCATCTCCACTCTCCCTCCCCTGAAGGGAGCAGCCCAAGATCAGTCAGAGTTCAAAGCAGTCAGAGAGGAATTTCCTTGGACCCTCAATTTGGGAAAATCAAGAGTTCTTGTGGTTGAGCATTTTCCAGATTTGGAGCATTTCCTAAAACTCTTGGAGATGCTACAGGTGTAAAGTTTAAATCCTGGGGTTAAAATTAAGTGCTGGGAGATTTTCCTGCCTCTCTAAGTTTCTCACCCTCCCCCCTTCCAAGCTCTGGAGGGGCTGAGAGTTAATTCTGGGGGTGCCGTTTCTGCAGAGCCCCCAGAGGCGACGCTGGAGAGAGTCAAGACAGAGGTGGAGGATGGGATGGAGATGCACATCTGCCAGGTCCACGGCTTCTACCCCAGGGAGATCGATGCCTTCTGGACGAGGGACGGGGAGGTCTGGCTGCAGGACACCCTCCATAAGTCTGTGGCCCCCAACGCGGATGGGACCTTCCACTACTGGCTCAGCATCCGGATCGACCCCAAAGAGAGGAGCCGCTATCGGTGCCACGTGGAGCACGACGGCCTGCTGGAGCCTCTGGACCTGGCCCTGGAAGGTGAGAGGCTGCAGGGAGGGGAAGGCTGGGCTCTTTGGCAGGCTGGGAGGTGGTGGGAGAGGAATCTGGCCCCAGATGTGTCCAGGTGTGAGCAAACCTGAGCTTTCATCCATTGGTTTTTCCAGTGTTTGAGGCGGGTGCAGCTGCAGGGACCAGACCACAGAACTGACTTCAGGGGATGGAAACTACAGAGTCCCATCCCAAGAGTTGGCCGATCCTGATGAAATGCCCTCAGATCCTCTCTTAGGCCTTCCCCGTTTCTTGCCCCCAGCACCAGAAACAGATTTCCTTTTGTGCACAATTCCTAAAGTACAAGAATCAGGAGGAGTCTGGTTGCCCCTTTTCTGAAGGAAAATTCTGACTAAAATGGATGAAGTGCAGCCGACTTCAGGAAATGCAGAGAGTGGCTGGACTGATGCATCAGGAGTCAGAAAAGAGGCTAAGAAGTCTGAGTTTTATTTCCCACCAGAGACTAACAGGGTTTCCTGCTTTCAAGGTCAAAAGGTCACTGTGTGTTGCTGCTCTAAGGAAGAAGTTGCACCTTATTTTATGATCGGATATGTGAATTCCTGAGGCTCAGCATAAAACCCAAGGAAAAAAGCCCTCTTTCAAAGAGTTCTGTATATGCTCAGAAGTGTCCTTAACGTACACCGGACTTCCAAAGTGGCAAAATTCAAATTCATATTTTTTATTGATGATTGTCACCAAGATACAAGAAATATTCAAATGTAATTGTTATGCTGACATCCCAGGCAAAATAAAATATTCCTTTTATTTTTGTTGTTGTTTATAGCAAGTACCAATTCACAAGTGGCATAATTGCTATTCAATGGGAATCCTGAATTTTGTGCAAGAGAAATTTAAATGTAAACTTCCCTCCTCAAACCTGCTCCCCCCCCCCCAAGCTATACCAATTTATAATGCCTTGGGAAGACCATCCGTGGAATTCTTCATCCAGTTTTGGTTGCCACGATATAGAAAAGATGTTGAGACTCTGGAAAAAGTGCAGAGAAGGGCAACAAAGATGGTTAGGAGCCTGGAGGCTAAAATCTATGAAGAGCAGTTGCAGGAATTGGGCATTTCTAGTTTGATGGAAAGAAGGACTGGGGGTGACATGATATGTCCCAATATCTCAGGGGCTGCCACAGAGAAGAGGCAGTCAAGCTATTCTCCAAAGCACCTGAGGGAAGGACAAGAAGCCATGGGTGGAAACTACGGAAGGAGAGAAGCAACCTAGAACTGAGGAGAAATTTCCTGACAGGGAGGACAATTAATGAGAGGAATGGCTTCCCTCCAGAAGTTGTGGGGGCTCCATCACTGGAAGCATTTAAGAAGAGACTGGAGAGTCACTTCTCTGGAATGGTTTAGGGCCTCCTGTTTGAGCAGGGGGTCAGACTGGAAGACCTCCAAGGTCCCTTCCAACTCTGTTATTCCATTATTCTATTTCTGCCATTTGTTGGTCCGTCCAGAAGCTGGATATCACCCTATTCCATTTTCATGCTGACGTTGTGAAAGCACAAAATACAATTTTATGCTATTTCCGGACTGGCCAAAGAAATGAAAGTGTGTACTTAAAAAAAAAGGCTAGGTGATATGAACTGTTTTACTTTAAATTAGCGGTTGCCAACTAGTGGGCTATGGCCCACTATTGGTCCACGAGAAAATGTTGTTGATCCTCAGAGAAATGCCACCCCAGAGCACCCCCGCAAAGCAATTAATCCAGGCTGCATGTACTGGGTTGCTTCTTCCACTTCCGTCTTCTGCTTTTGGCTACATGCAAAAACCAGCAAAAGTCTTTTTTTCCTCTCCCCCAAAATCCACCAGAAATGAGTCTTTGGGACCCTGCAAGGCATCCTGATCCAAGAGGCAAAGACTCACTTCTCGTGGAGTTTGGGGGAAGAGAAAGAAAGGCTTCTGCTGTTTTCCTTGCGTGCAGCCTGAGAACGGAGATCAAAGCAGGCTAGTCATGACTTATTGGGGCAGCCTATAAAAAGAACCAAAATGTTTTTGTTTAACAAGTTGTGTTTATTTTATTGTGTTGGGGAAGTTTTTGTTTTGTAAGCTGCTGAGAGTCACAAGGTGGCAAAGGGCTGCTTTTGAGTCGAAAAGCCAAAGATGAATCCAGCTGCCTTCATGCTGGGCTGGTGGGAGAAGAAGGCAGCGTCAGGAGGACACGTCCTCTAACAACAGTTAGCAAGGCTCCTTCATGTTACCTTGAGAAGGACACAAAAATGAGCTCATGGAGATTTTAATTTCGGGAATTTCCAGCTTTCACTTCTTTAGGTCTCTCTTGGGAAGATTGTTTGGGCTTCTCCTTCAATGATCTGCTCTTTCTCCCAATTCAGAACCAAAATCCAACCTGGGGATCATCATCGGCTGCGTTGTGGCTGCTCTTGTCCTGGTGGGTGTGATTGCTGGGATCCTGGTATTCCTCAGTAAGTATCTTTTTTTGAGGGGGGGCGATGGAAGGACCCCCTTTGGGGAGCTTCTTCTGGGCTTCCTTCTGTCCTGTTTTCGTAGCCCTCTGAGATCTCAGCCTCTCGCTGGGACTCCCATCTCCATTCAGCTGAGTTTGAGATTCAGGCAGTCCTGTCTTCTTCTGAGTTGGGAAGAGGCTTCCCAGTTCTGTTCCTCTCAAAGAATTTGGTCAAAGAGCAGCAGAGAAGGATTTCCATGAAAACCTTCCTCCCCTCCCAGCTGCTGCTGCTGCTGCTTCCCCCAATTCCCCTCCATCCATCTTGGAGGCAGCAGGTCTCTCTTGGGGCAAATCAGGAGATACATTTGTATTTTGAAGATCTTTCTGTCTTTATAAATGGGACAAAGGGTCTGTGAAGTATCTCCTGGGGTTCTTCCTCTTAACAGAGGGAGAGTTTGGATGATCTCTAGTGGATTCTTTTGAGCTTTCCCTGATTTTTGTCCTTGCAGTGAGACGACGGGATGGCTACAAAGCAGCACCAAGTGAGTGATTTGTCCTCTTTGCATGTAATCTCCAACTTAGAGCAGGGACCAGAGGCACCATTAGTTGAGAGGGGTGTGTGTGTGTATGTTTGCATGTGCTATCTTCCTCTTCATGCTAAGAACCAGGCTGGGGAAGATGGGCCCCCTTTTCATTCCAGCCAGGCTGTTCTTGGAAGTGGAGTCCTCAAGCAGAAACTTCTGGGACAAGGAACCTTCAAGAAGATGAGAAGACGCGGCTGGTGGAAGGTCCCTCTGACTGAGGACATGCTCTGTTTCCCAAGGAGGCAGAAAGGAAAGGCTTGGCCAAATGAGACTCAGAAGCTCTATAAAATCAGGGATCCAAAGGGGGCATTTTGAGAGAAAAGGAGCTTTGGGGGATGCCAGCTGGATCTCCTCTTGGTCTTCCATCACAAGGTTCTCTAAGTGCAAACTGGTTACAAAAAGATCTTGTTAAATCAGCTCTGACTTCTGTTTTTGTGTGATATACTTATAAAATTTAAGAATTATTTCCGATGCCTTTTAGCCAAAGCAGTTTGGTTCAAACTCTTTCTGTGTATTTGTGCAGTGATCACCAACCTTTGGGCTGCCGCCCACTGGTGGTCCATGAGAAAATTTTGTTGGTCTACAGAGAAATATCTCCCCCAAAGCAATTAATCGATGCTGCGCAGGAACACAAGGCTGCCCCACCCACGTGGCCCACCCACCCACTGGCCCCCACCCTTTGGCGTGAGAAAACTGACACCGACAACACCCCATTCTGGACCTCTGAACTGGATGGTGAGGGCAGACTTGTCCACTCCACCCCCTCCCACCACCCCCAGGTGGTACTTTTCCTGTCCCAGCCATCCCTACAGCCTGCGGCCATCGCGGAAGAGCCCAGGCCAGGAGAGGCGAGCTGGAAGGTGCGGGAGCGCCACACAAATTGCAAGTAAAGCAGCGCTCCTGCGCCTTCCAGCCGTCTCCATCGCTGCTTCAGCCCGCCTGTGCCGCCAGCCCCCTCTTTCTGCAACAGCACCGTTACCTCGTCCTGGCCGGCGAGGGCTGCGCTGCTTTTTGCATGATGCACTGCCTGCAGATTTGCACGTTACAGGTGCCAGCCGCTATGGCGGAGATTTTCAACCCCACCATGGGCCGGTCCCATATTCCAGAGCTGCAGTAGTCAGCTGTGGTCATCCCGGAGCAGCTCATCCATGGCAGGACAGTGCACAGGCCAGTCCTGTGACTACTGCAGCTCTGGAATATGGGACCGACTTTCAGCAAGCCACCGTCCGTCAAAATTCATGTTAGTGGTCGGCGGGGTTTGAAATTATGAGTTTGATGGTCCCCGAGGTCCAAAAGGTTGGCGACCCCTGGATTTATGTGTCTTTGATTGTGTGTGAGAGAGAGAGAGGGAGGGAGGGAGCTGGAGTCAGAAAGAGCTGAGCTTCTCCCCCTATAAGCCAAGAGATCAACCTGCTCACCCTCTTTTTCTTTCCTTCTTTTCCAGCAAGTGATAAAGGATCCAACAGTTCAGACCAGGGTAAGTCAGACGGAGCTGCTGCTGCTGCATGAGCCATTCTGTCCCTTTGGAAGATTCTGGGTGGACGAGGGGATGGAAAGAGGAGAGCCCCCCCCCACTTTTGAAACGCCCTCCAGATTCATCCTCCTTTGTTCCCTCTGCTTCTGGTGGAACCATTGGAATAATTGCACCCACTGTGGCTTAGTGGGTGAGGCCACCAGGCGAGGCCGGGAGTTCTAGTCCCGCCTTAGGCATGAAAGCCGGCCGGGTGTCCCAAATGTCACTTTCCTTGCACTGATTTGTTCTGCACAGGAGAAGGGAAAACTCTCCCTGTTGGATTCAGGCAGGGGAGGCAGCCCAGAGTCTGCATGGTGGAGCCTGGTGGTCCCCTTTGGAGGAAGGAGCCCCCAATTCTTTGAGGGGGAAACAGGGAAACCACTAGTGATGCCATGATCCCCAGTGGCTGGAGACTCTTCTGCTGGCATAGATGGGACCTGGCTGACTCTGGAAGGGGAAAAGGTTCCCTCTCTCTCAGATATGCCCAGCTGGGTTTAGGGTGTGGCCCCAACCGAGATCCCAGGCAGGATTGTTGGGGTTCCAGGGGTCCCCTGAGAATCTCTCCTGGCACTCAGGATGCTCCCGCCCCACGATTCTGGTTGGGACTCCCTGTTTCTGACTCTGGGTTGACATGATGGGCTTGTGGCTACTGTACCAGCCTCCCTGCCGCATGGCCCCCTCCCTGCCTGAGCTGCCGGAGACCCTCTCAGGGTTGGCATGGACTTGCCCAGGATTATGGTCCTGGGAGTCTTCAATCTGCCGTCCTTGGTCTTGGCCTCAGAAGCAGCCCAGGGTTCATGGCCATCATGGCGTCCATGGGTCTCTTCCAGATCGTCCTGGGTTCGACTCGAGACAGCGGCCACACACTGGACAGGATCTTTTTTTAAAATTATTTTTTTATTTTTAACATACAACAAATTCGTTCCATTTCAATCGTGTGTCATTTAGGTACATGGTTCATGTGCTTAACAGTTACTAATAATATTCTTCTTAACAATATAATAATAATCACATTCCCATATATATAATACAAGTAATATTCAGGATGTCTATTATACTAGTTTCTCTCATTGCTTTATAAATACGTCTAATCCCTTTTAATTAATTTTATTTCCTAGCCATTTATAAAACAAGTCCCATACCACCTAATATTCAGATTCTTCTTTTTCTTTAATTACTAATGTCAATCTATTCATTTCTGCACATTCAAATATTTTTCCAATTATTTTTCTCTCTATCGGTATTTTATTACTTTTCCAATTTTGAGGAAATACAATTCTAGCTGCTGTTAATACATGTAAAATTAAGTATGTCTTTTCTTTGCTGTAACCTTCAGGTACCATTCCTAATATTTCAGGATTCAAATGTATATGTTGTTTAATCATTTTTTCCAACCATGTGTGTATTTTGGTCCAATATCTTTTAGCTTCTATACAAGTCCACCACATACGGTTATATATTTCACTGGACCTGATTTTCTTGTTGGAGCAAAGGCAACATGATCTGATGGGGGAATCTGGATTTTATGTATTGTTTTAAATATTCCACATGGCAGTTTATTGAACTTTACTGTGAGCTGCCTAGAGTCACCTTAATGAGATGGGTGGGATGGAAGTTTAATTAATAAATTAATGGAAAGCTTTACGTCCTCTGAGAAGTTTGTGAGGCTGAAGATGTTGAATGGAGAAGAGATTTCTCCTCCTCACAGGACAAGAGATTCATTCATTCTGTGTCTTTTTCTCCAATCCAGGGAGCAACCAGGCCGCTTAGCAGCCCCCTTGCAGGTGAGTGGACTGGTGGGGGCCACATGGGGTGAGAGGGAGGGAGGGAGGGAGGGGAGGGGAGGGCTTTGGGGTCCAAGGACCAAGGGAGGGTGAGGATGCTTTGGAAATCCCTCTTCTCTCTCCGGTTCATCCCAAACACTGGAAGGGAAGGGATTTGGGGGAGAGGGCTCGGGGGAGGGGTCTTCCTGCCCCCCAAACTCTGATTCTGTGGTGCCTCTCAGGCTCTGCCTGTCTTGGTCCCACTAACCCTTGGGTGCTTCTTCCCTCCTCCTCCCAGTGGAGACTCCCAGCATAAAGAGAGAGGAATGAAGAGGGATCAGCCTTCTCCTGAATTAGGCCGGGGTCTTCGGGCCTTTCCTGCATGCTGGAACCAGGATAGATTTTGGGTCTTTCATCGCTGCTTTTATCGCTAAATCGGTAAATGTTTTTCTATCATGATTGAGGAGCAGAGGAGAAAAGGATGTATTATGTGTTAAGATTTCAAATTGGATTTCCTAGATAATAGTTTATAATAGGTAGGTTGCATAACACCCTTAATGGGCTTTTGCTGATTAATCTTAGTGGATAGAGATTAGAGGTTGAAGATTAGAGGTTTTAGAGATGGATTTAGAGAAAATGGGGTGAGGAATAGGATGAAGAGTTCATTGGTTTTACTTTAAGAAAGATTGATAAGTTGATAATTTTCATTACACTTGTTGGGGATAAAGGTAGAGGTTTCTTTTTCTTGTATATCTGTTTAATGTAATCTTTGATGAAACTGTTACTAAAAGAAGAAATGTGCATTCTGAGATTTTTGTCACTAAAATAGTTAATGCATTCTTAATTGATTATTGCACGGCTATTTGACCATAAATTTGATAACACAAAGTTTGACAAATAATGAATATGCTAAGTATATTATTTGACACTGATTTTTATATAGATTGCCATTTATGAATTGTCATGATTTAGACAAATGGAACATGAGATCAATTGCAGAGTCAGGTTGCTATGTCCTTAACAATGGCACATATATTACAAAGTTTGTCAAAGTTGTTTTCTGAAAATAAATGGTTTTGATTTCTTCTTACCTGACAGTTTCTGCCTCTTAGTGGAAGTTGGAAATAACAAAGATTTTCCCCTCCTTGTTGATCAGGGACCCCAATTTCGCTCTGAGTGATAGGAAGGGGAGGAATCAAGGGGAGAACTGGGGGGGGCTCCTGTTTTCTCCTTTGGGGGGGAGGCAGCCATTTTGTTCCTGTCTACAGAGGTTTCTCCGGCATCACCAGCTGATCTTCTGCAAAATGGCTACTTGGCCTTGGCTTGAGTGTGGCAGCAACAGAGGCTGCTTTCCCCTCAAATCCACCTTTGTCTCAGGTTGTTGTCCAAGTGGCTGGTCTTTGAGTCTCACCCAGGGGCCCTTCAGAAGAGAGTTCAGTGACCGGCCAGAGCCTTCCTGGTCCCCTTGCAGAAGGGCAGCTTCTCCTGTTTCTCACAGATCCTCTCGGGGGTCTTCAGGTGTGATGATGCAGGGGTCCAAGAGTGGGGAGACCCTGGACTGATAGGAAATATGCCCCCCATATTACAGGGGACGCTTTGGGGCCACGGAGGAGTGAAAGGGAGGGGGGGTCTGCCCTCCTCCCCCCTCAGGACTAGCCACCTTTGTCCTTTTGACAAGCAAAGTCAATGGGGAAGCCAGCTTCCCTTAACAACCGTGTTACTAACTTAACAATTTGAGCGATTCACTTAAGAACCGTGGCAAGAAAAGTCGTAAAATGGGGCAAACCTCACTGAACAAATGTTTCACTTAACAACAGAAATGTCATAAGTCAAGAGCCACCTGTAATGCTTAAGGCACCAGGCTAGAACTCAGGAGGCAGTGAGTTCAAGTCCCGCCTCAGGCACAAGAGTCAGCTGTGTTATTTTGGGCCAGTCATGGTGTCTCCACAGGGTTGTTGTGAGGAAAACAGGACAAGGAAAGAGTGTTATTTCTGTCCTCAGCCTTGAGCTCTTTCTGAAAATGATAAAAGCGGGATATGAACAAACAAACTCACGGGCTGAACTCTCTCCCGATCTCAAGGACGCCTGAAAGAAAAAAGGCCAGCGTGGTTCAGCCTGATCTAAAGTCCAAAAGAAATAATGTCCCAGTGGGTTGGTGGTAGAGCCTTAGTCATGTCCTTCCTTGATCACTTTAAGGATTTGCGGTTCAAGAACTGGAAAATTATAAGTAGACACGTAAAGAAAAAAAATAATTGTGTGAAAGTCTTCTTTGCCTCTTTCCTGGGGGGGGGGAAACCCCATTTAATGACTGTGTCAAGATTGAATCGCTTTATTGCCTTCTAACTTCTATCGCTATTCAACTTGCCAATGAAAAGAGGGGAGGGGTGGAATGCGCAGGGAGGAAACGGGGTGCCTAGACGCCGTCCTCAGAGGACGAGAACTTGCACAACGCCAAGGTCACAACTGCAGGTGTTTGATGGAGAAGTGGACTGTTCCCATAACAAAAAGTAGTTTTACAATTGGATAACGGGAACATCTGAGTGGTGGGAGAAAGGGAGCCTCTTGTTTAACTGAGCAAACTTTCACACGGGAAAATCAGAACTGGTTTTGCTTCTTCAATTCCGACATGGTGAATTCAATAAAAGTTTTACTTTTTGGGATTCAATGGCCCTGAGAGTTCCTTTTTTGGGGGGTTTGCTAGTCGGACCTTTGACAGACTGCTTTGTTTAATGACTGAGTTGCCCGTTCCAATTTGGGTTGTTAAATGAGATTAACTATACCTCCTTTCAGTGATATGTAATAATTCTTGCAGTCAATGTCCATGACTGAAATATCCAGGGTTTGATGTCTTGATCAATTCCAAATACCAGGGATGACTAAGGTGGCATAAGTTTCTTTAACATGGTCAAGAACAACAAAAACCTTACAGCATACTAAGAGCAGTGTATGTAATCATTTAGACGGGGAAAGATCCAGTCCATTTTATCAGATTCCTTAAAACCCTTTCACCTTGGCAGACTGGCAGAGGGGGTGGAAGAGCGGATGGTTTTGCGTATATATGTGCTCAGTGTTCTAATGGGGCTGCCCCAAAGAAGAGGGAGTCAAGCTATTCTCCAAAGCACCTAAAGCCAAGACAAGAAACAATGGGTGGAAACTAATGAAGGAGAGAAGAAACCTGGAACTGAGGAGAAAGTTTCTGACAGAACAATACACCAGTGGAACAGAAGTTGCCTTCAGAAGCTGTGGGTGCTCCATCATGAGAGGCTTTTAAAAAGAGAACTGGACAACTATTTGTCTGAAATAGTATAGGGTCTCCAGTTTGATCAGGGGAGTTGGATTAAAACAGGGGTCGCCAACCTTTTGGACATCAGGGACCACCAAACTCATAATTTTAATTCCCGCGGACCCGAGACCCTGGGAAAATCCCCCCAAAGGTCTGCAGGAAAAGCCCCCACCCTGTTTTCCTACCAATCGATCATTCTTTATTTGGGATCGCAGGATACCGTCTCCTGCTCCGTTCTCAGGGGAGAGAGAGAGAGACTTTTGGATTCATGCAAGGAAAGCAGCAGAAGCAGCAAAAGTCTTTCTTTCTCTCCCCCAAACTCCACCAGAAATGAGCAGGAGGCCTTGCAAGGTTCCAAAGACTCATTTCTGGCAGAGTTTGGGGGAGAGAAAGAAAGACTTTTGCTGCTTCTCTTGCGTGCCGTCAAAAGCAGAAGAAGAAAGAAGCAGAAAGAAGCAGCCCGGAGGCCAGGTGAGGCGCGTGGGGTGAGTGGGGCAAGTTCTCCCCTCTGCCCTTTCCACCCCTCTCCTCAGTGGACTAGAAGACCTCCAAATTCCCTTCCAGCTCTGTTATTCTCTTAATTCTGAACAATTGCCCTTGGAGCTGTAGACTGTAATTGTTATGTGTGCAAAATGGAGGAACGGAAAGTTCCATTCAAGGGAAGCTCAAAACAAGAGGCTCATTTTGAAGTACAGCAAAGAACAGGAAACAGACACATATATTCTTTCAATCTTTTACTGTTGCATTTTAATAATAAAAATATAGAAATATACAATTAGATTTTTTCATTGCCTATTTCCGTTGAACTAAAAGCCATTACCCTGTTTTCCATAGAAATATCACTTTGAGTAGTACAAATTGGAACGACGCAACCATTTTGTGGGAATTCTGTAAC